ACCACAGACAAGTGACTTGTCTGTGCATGTGTGCACACACACACACACCCACTCAATATATGCACACATACTAATAATAGTAAAGAAAAATTAAATAAATGGAAGGTACTTCAAGTGGGAGCCCCAATAGATTTATTTCCCTACAAAGAGAAAATCCTCTTTGATTTTCTAAGTCTCTCTCAAGAAAACCCCACATACAAAGTGGTCACTTTCCCTGTCCACAATGATGCCTGCCTCCACAGCTACCCCAAGCTGACTCTTCGGGAAGTTTTGCAATAAAGATAAACCTTTCAGTATTAATCCCTAAGATAATTTTTCAAAAAAACTAAAACTGAAAGAAAAATAAAAACCTTTCCCTTTATCCATCTTGTCTTAAGTTATGCTGCCGAAGGACTTCTCACTGAAGACATCCCTAGGCAAAGAGACAGTAAGATGTACATATCCCCTTTTATAATAAACTGGAAGAGTTACCAAAAGAAAAAGTATTAAAATGCAATCCTAGCTTTTATTTTTATATATGTGAATGTAAATGTAGATTAAGGTAATGAACCTAAGAAGGCGGCCACAGGGGGAAGGGCTCTGAATCAGACTGCTAAGGGCGATAGAATCTGTGTAACATGAAGGCAGAAAGGGGACTGTTGGGGATGGAAAGACACAAGAGGGAGCAGAGAGATGGGGAGGAGAGTGGAGAAGGTGGAGGCTTAACAAGTTATGTCTGAAAATACTGCAAGGAAACTGGTTACTTCCCTTGTTATTTTTGTTGTTAAATCAACATACAAAGTAACAGGTTTCCTTCTAGCATTCTCACACAAACTTAGTTTTCCTTGATGTCCCCTCTCCCATCTCTCCATTCCAAGCCTCCCTTTCCCCTTCCCCCATTTGTACCTTCTGCCCAAGGATTCTCCTTTGTCGTGAGTGCTCTGCTCCCCTCCTTACTCCACTTCCTTAAAGCCTCTCCCTCTTTTTTCTTATTTATTAGAATAAAAAAACAAAAGAAAGGGAAACATAACGAAAAACATGATTTACTCTTCTTTTTTTAGTTTTTTTTTTACCATTTTTTATTTAAATTAGAAATAAGCCTGCTTCTCGTCCCCTCTCCCTCTTCCTCTCCCTCTCCCTCTCCCCTCCCCCTCTCCCTCTCTCTTTCCCCTCCCTCTCCCCTCCCCCTCTCTCTCTCCCTCTTCCTCTCCCTCTCTCCTCTCCCTCTCCCTCTTCTGGACCCTTGCTAGTTTCCTGACCTCTCACACCCACATAACCACACATGTACAAAAGTTAGAAACCAGGAGTTACACAAGAGGGCATGTAGTATTCTTCTCCCTTTGTAATGCCACTTAAAAAATAGCATGAGACGGGAAAACAGTAGAATTAAATATATATTTTAAAATGTAGGACAAAAGAAGAATGGAAGCAAAGGAAATAATGGAAAGGACAAAAACAAACCCATGGAAATGGGACCAGGTGAGCTAGCTCAGTGGTTAACTGGCTGGCAACACTGCATGACAATCTAAATTCAAACTCCAGAATCCACAGTGCACCCAGTGGAGGAGTACAACCCCTGAAAGTTGTCCTCTGAACTCCACAAGCAGGTGACACGTACACACACACACTGAACATGTACGTGCATACTAATAGTACAAAGTAAAAGAAAGAAATAGAAGATACTTCAACTGGGGACCCCAATGCATTTAATTCCCTACTTTTTCTATGCTTCATACTCAAGGCAAAATGTAAGCTTCCACTCCAATGGAACCATGCATTTGGACACAAATGTGGTCATAGGATGAACCAGAGAAGACATTTTTTTGCTTATGAAAATCATGTACAAGCCCAGAATGGTCACCAGGAACAGAGTACATGGCTTCCCTACATTTCTGTCTCCTATTTCCTGATTCTAGATTATTGTAGCATGCTGGACTGTGAGAAGACCTTGATGCTCTCTGGCAGTCAAACCCACATCTGCCCACACATCTGCCAGCCAATGTCACCCACTGCTGCTAACGTGCTCTCACAAATTAGGGAACCCAAGTGAAAGGATGGCACCGATTGAGGATTAGAAGGACCCTGCAACCTTCTCCAGCCCTCTGGGCATTATGGGAGAGTGACCTGGAAAATCAAATGCAGAGAAGTGTCCTAAAATATAGGACTCTTGTTTGAGGCATACTAGAACCTATTAGCTTGAGAAATTGGTCTGGAAATCTTATTAAAAGAGACAAATCATTCCACATTCTCCTCAGGCTGAAAATATTGGGGGTAATAGACTCTCCCCAGTGCCTCAAATCCGTGCACCTCATGTCGGGATCACAGTCGAACTCCGGCAAGGCTAAATTCAATGCAGGCAATAAAGGCAATTATTTTTTTTAAATGGGAAGTTCTGATTAATTCTAGTTTCTCTGGCCAACCACGGACTTATCGGTACCAGTCCCTCATTACCGTGAAGGTTGCAAGGCAGAAGCGCCAGTGGCAAAGAGAAATGAAGTTCAAATTGTGGATTTGTCATTACTGCACAGCTCAGCAGCAGCAGATTGTCCGGCTACGGAGGCCCCTGTGACCAGCCCCCCCTCCCCCATGTTCACATCTCCTTTCTCAATATGCCTGATTAACCCCTGGTGGAGAGGCTGGGCAAGCAGAGGACCAACGCCTTATGAAATTCACCTTGCACATCTTTGCTAGTAGAGAGGAGCGATTAGAAAAATCATTCCTCATATCTAAGTGCAGAATGACTCCGGACTTATAACAGGACATTCAGCTTGAGAATCTTGACTGTACAATGTTGTGTGAATGGTACAGATCCGAAAGAAGCTACATTAATTTTGATTTGTGTGTCTATCTTGTCCCAATGATATGCAATACTCTCTGGTGAAGGTTAGGCAGTGGCAGCAAGCTGGAGATCCCAGACACCCAGCACCCTGCAGAGAAACTACTAGTCCTTTATAGTATGTAGTCTTTCATTGCAAAACTATAATAGTCTGAAGGTTCTAAGCACCAAATATTTTTTTGCAGTTCTGGGGATTAAACATAGGGCCTCATGCATGCAAGGCAAGTGCTCTACCACTGACCTACATCCCCAATTCCAAATTCATTTTCTACTTTATGATGTCATCAACCAATGATGCATTTATAGGGATGCAACCCTGTCATAAGCAAAGGAGTATGTGTATTATAGCAATCATACAATGGCAATAACTATACAATTGACTTATAAATGCAATAATTACCTGAGCTATCCAATAGTATTCATTTCATGGCTGGTACAGTTCTAAGTGATTTATTTTCATGAATTATCTCCTTTATCCCCAAAATAACCCTAACAGAGGAAAAGATGGCAAAGATTGGTATGAACAGAAAGAAAGTATTGTAGGTTTCTGTTTAAACTACTCAGTTCTGCACCTGCAGCACTGTGTGGCAGTAGTCATAGATAATACATGAACAGGTTAACAAGTAAGTGTCAATAAAACTTTATTTACAAAACCATTCATATGGCTATTAGGCCATAGTCTGCCAACCATGGCTCAAGTTAAATGATGCTATCCCTATGTGAGAAATTAAGGCCTCCACTGTTAAGAAGGCAAGGATGTGATGCTTCCCTTTTGTACACGCCATCCATCTCCTGTTCTTCCTTTATCATTCCAGTTCTTCAGGGAGCAGAGAATAAAAAGCCTCATGTCATGTGATTCCCCCAGGTGATTAACAGTTCCCTCCTGTCAACAAAAGAGAGAGCAGTTCTTCTCTCCCAGGAAAACCCTGCCTCAGAAGAGGCCACCACACTTTCATGGGTCACCTCTGTCAATTATCTACAAGCTGGTGTAGGTCATGTCTAACCTCACCCTGTGAGGCGCTCAGTGAAGAACTGCTGCTAGAAGCTTTATAGGTCTTTTCAAGTATTCACTATGTTGTTTTAGCAACTCCTGGGTGACCTTTCTATCACATGGCCTCTGTCCAGGCATCCCAGAAATCCTGTGGCCCTAATTGTCACCTTCCTGTGTGTCCCACAATGTTTCTAGGCAGGGTCCATCTCAATGCTACTGAGACATCAGAAATTTGAAGGACCATGTGTTGCCTGTCCACAGATAATCACACTAAAGTCACTCAAGAAATTAATAGACCAAGCAAAATACCACAGCCACCTTCCTTGATGACACACATAAACAAAAGACCAACTAGGGTCTGAGACCAGGGCTCCTCAGTCTCTGCAGTCCTGCATTGGATTGACAGTAGTCTCAAGAACTATTGTGTATATTATGGTATGTCCATGTGCATCTTAGCCCATGCTTATAAACTGGTTTCGGACATTGGGAGATAGGGACAAATGGCCTCCAGCTGAGAGACACTGTCTTAGATGGAGGGGTGACCATGGCTACAGCTATCAGCTATGTATGTAGTTCCTAATTCCAGAAATTCTGGGAAGATAGTCAGCAAGTTCTGTTGGTACCAAGTAAAATGTTCTTTCTTATGATGTGAGGGAGATGCACTTATCCTCAATTAACACAAGAGAGCAGAGGTCTGGGTAACAAAACTCGTAAGCATTCCTGGATTTGGAGATAAAATTGTCAGATGCCAAAATATGTATATTTTAAAACAATTAGTCTGAATATGGCTGTGAACAGTCACTGTGGACTTTTCTGGAATGAGAAACAGTTGCCATAATTGTGATAAAATGAAAACTGGACTGTGCCTGCCCTTCACTTGGAGCTCCTAAACCCTGACAACAGCACTTACAAGTAGATGTTCTCCCATTTCACAGATGGGAAGACTGAGATCCAACAGAGAAATGATTTGAAGTCATCATAGAAAATATATTTAAGCTTTCCCCTTTATTCAAAACTTTAACATTTCAGAACCAAAGAAGTTGGAACTGTACTTCAACAGGAAAGCTACTTGCAGTTTGCTTCCTAAGACTGGACCTTTGTGGCCATGTGCCTTCTCACAAGAAAGCCTCCGTGACAAATAGCACTTATGTGTCCCCTTCTTTGGACTCCTGTGACCTCTTTTCTTTTCTGCAGCTCTGTATGCAGTACTGGCCTGAGAAGACCTCCGGGTGTTATGGGCCCATCCAGGTGGAGTTTGTCTCTGCCGACATTGATGAGGACATCATCCACAGAATCTTCCGTATCTGTAACATGGCTCGGGTGAGTACAGAGCCGCCATGGCTCAGCACAGGGCCACCATGGCACACTGTTCCCCTTCTTTGCAGAACAGATTGAGGCTGCTGGGAGAAGATCCCACTGAGCCAGCCAAGAGTCTGTTCCTCTCTCCTGATAAGCTCTTCCTTGGGGAAGTGATGTCTTTGCTGATTCCAGCTCCAGACCCAGCAATGGCTCTAGCACTGACAGATGCCCAGAGCGACAGCCAGCCTGCCAGCTGCCTGTTTCCTGACACTCTAGCAGCCACGCAGACAAAACTTCCCAGACATTAGCTCTTCCCCACTCTGGCAACACTGCACTGGTACCCTTCAGTTGGACTTTATGAGCTTTAGACCAGGTCCTACAAACATTGACATGGACAACAATTAATTGCTTTCAAATGCATAGTTACTGGTTGAATGCAAGAGGGGGCACAATAAAAGTCCACGAAACAGTGGCTCACTATTGCTTCTTACTGAGAACCCAGGGAGATAGCATTTACTATCAAATAGAACTCAGCATTTACTATCAAATAGAAATGAGATGTGCTCCAACTAAAAACCTTCAGAGAGGAAGAATTCTACTTAGAACAAAGAAAAGTGTTCCTAAAGAAAGGAACATCTGAATTGAGTTTGAATAGCCCTAAACAGTGCTTTATTCCCAGCCACAGGATGGTTATCGTATTGTCCAGCACCTCCAGTACATTGGCTGGCCTGCATACCGGGACACACCCCCTTCCAAACGCTCTCTGCTCAAAGTGGTCCGAAGGCTGGAGAAGTGGCAAGAGCAGTATGACGGGAGAGAGGGGCGCACCGTGGTCCACTGCCTGTAAGTACCACAGAGGCACCTCCAGAGCAGTGTGGTGATGGGTGACAGAATATTTGACATTGTTTCTGGTTGCATATGCCAGTCCTAGGCATCATATCAGCATCCTTTATAATCCATTGGTAATAATTAGAATCCTTTAATGAACTCAGGTGTCAGTTTTTTTTTTCTAAACTATTGCTAAATGACCTATTGCTAAAGCAGAATACAATAGGCAGACCACTTCCCAGCGCTCCCAACACAGAAGTGAGTTCTGCTCTCAAAAGGGAGGTGTGTGCATCATCCTGCTAGGTATAAGAAAGCTTGGGATAAAGTGGGTCCCACTGACCAGAGCCCCTTATGTTAGTTCCTGAAGGAGAAGAAAAGGGGCGGTATTATATTAGCTTAATTTAAGCCAGGCATTTAAAATCAATCACTTCATCCCATCTGCGAGGCAGACACTATCGTTTTGCAGTAAGCAAACTGAAAGCAGAGATGGGTAAGGGAACAGAGCAAGAGGAAGTCAGTTTGAATTCACAAGACTGTGGGCTGATGTGCTGTCTGCAGTCCCACACTGTATCTACGAGAGGGAGGGTGAGGAGCGTTAGGGGTGAGGACATCTTAGACAATATGAGGACAACTTGGACTTGCTTGCTGTGTCAGCCTCCTGGTATATCTCTTACCTTGCGCTTAGTAGGAACAAGGACACAGAGAGCATGGGGGTGGGGGAAAGACACTACTCCAGTAGATGGATTTTCAGGGCACTGGAATCTATGTCCTCCTAGAGGTGCAGTAAGCTTAAGACAAGCTACTGAGATGACCTTTGCTTCCTGACTTAGGATGGGCACAGCTCAGTACAATGGGCCCCAGTGACATTCTGCTAAGCAGAGGCAAGACTGCAGCACACACACAAAAAAAATTGGGTAGCATTTGGATATGTTGAAGTATATCATGTTTAGATCCTGTAGTGCTCAAGCATGAAGCATTTAGAAGATAATACTGTATCTGCCAATAGAGAGATTTTAAAATATTATAGCAGAAAATACACAAATGTAAGTATAATTCATTGAGAGCAAATGTCCAGAGTGTACTGTAGAGAAAAGTTCTATGAAGAGTTCAGAACTATACAGAATCTGTAGCCATAAGAGATTTACATGGATGTTAGATCTACAACTATCAACCTTTTAGAGCATTGTTTTGAAGGGAAAGGACTAAAAGTCCATCCTCTTTAAAACAAAATACTGTATTACAGAAAGTCTGAACCATACTTTTCTCTTTTGTCAGAATAATTACTTCTGGTGTGAATGGAGGCATTAATTATCTTTCAATGGCCTCAGAATTGAATTGTCTTTTCCAAAGCCACTAATTGTTCACTTTCTTTCAGATAGCTGGTCCATACATGTCAGGAAGGTCAGAGCTTAGAGCAGGTTAAACACAGGCATGCACACTCAGAGCTGAAAATCCCCCACCTGTAGAAATTTCTCTCTAAGGGTACAGATATGGATGGACTCCAGGAAGATCCTGTGTCTGTGCCTTCTCAGAGTGATAGACAGTGTCAGACATGCCAAGCTGTCTCTAACTACACCACAGAAACAAGCGGCTGCTTTCCAACCCTGGCTTCCCCCAGTCCCTTCCCACACCTTAGATGCCACACATTAGATTACATAGGGCAAAGTCCATTCCTCAGGGCTCCATGTGTCCCTGAGATGATGCATACTCTAACTTCATCCTCTTAGTCCCTATCTTCTTAATTTAAAAGAGACCAACCCTCCCCCCCCCCTTTGCTGAGAAGGCTTCCTATACTCTAATGTTTTTATTTCCTAGCCTATGGGGACAGGAGTAGTTTGGTTGGTTGGTTGGGATTTTTTGTTTGCTTTCACCCATGCCTTACCTACCCTAGGTAACCAGCACAGGTGTGTCATCCTACCAATAGGGACCTGGACATCCTTGGGGTCCCCATGCATCATGACAGTCACTGAAATGCAGGCACCCACTGGTTAAGGGAAGATAATTTTGTGTACTTGAGACATCTGGTTGTTAGGCTTCCTGTAGGTGAAACATCTGGGAGATTGACTAAGTGCCTTGGTTTCTGCCCAGATGTTCCTTAGACACAGACCATTACATGAAATCATTAGCTGCCTTTGGCAGCTCGCCCAGGAGTTTAGAATCAGGTAGGTTCCTGAAGAGGCTTGTTTCCACAAGGATAATTTATGGAGCTTCAGAAAGAAAGAACAACTGAGGAATGGCCATCTGAGAACACTCAGTCCCTACACCCAAGACCAGTAGCACCCTAATTAAATAAAATTTACAAGGGGGTGGGCATGGAATTGACCTGGTATTTCAGAAACTGAGCCCATGCCCCTGGACCACAGCACAAAGCCAGGGCTAGTTAACCCAAGACTCATGAATTATTGTTGTCTTTGTTAGAATATGGTAATAAAACCACTTAGTAACTTCCATTGTTTGCATTGGATGTCTGGTAGACCCTGAGTATCCTTTCAGGGATAGATGTAGGTATCCCATATACAAAGACACAATACCATCTGACCCTGAGAATGTAGAAGAGTGTGCCTGGAGTGATTATAAAATGCTCACAGAGCTAAAGAAACATTAATCTAACTAAAACCCCAAAGGTCATATAGTCTAAAATCTCTATTAGATAAATGGGGAACTCAGGACACAGACCAAGGCATGTCTTTACCAAGGTCAAAGAAGATTCAGAGCCCCAGTAGGATTTATCCCAAATCCCATGGCTCAGCTAAAGTTTTCATGGTTGCCTGACCATACATCTGCTAGGACAATTACTCCATGCTCCCACAATGAAGCATTAGGATCAACATGTGTCTGAGTAGGGGTCCTGGGAATTTGGCTCACATGTTCACTCTGTGTTTAGAAATGGAGGAGGCCGCAGTGGAACCTTCTGTGCTATCTGCAGTGTGTGTGAGATGATCCAGCAACAGAACATCATTGACGTGTTCCACATTGTGAAAACACTACGCAACAACAAGTCCAACATGGTGGAGACACTGGTGAGCTTCCAAGAACCATTGTCTAAATAGTAATCCCAGTCCACCTACTTTGTTTTACATTCTGCCTGCTCCATAAAATGTCTCTAATTCAGACTTCAAGGAAGGATTTTGGAATAGGAGGTTGTGAATTATGTTTTCAATTCAACCCAAGCCTATTCTAATTCACTTACGCTAGTATTTTACAATGTAAAGCATTAAGCTAGGATGCTTTGGAGAAAGGAGCTAGTGGGAAGGCAGAGCCAGATGTTAATAAGACCCAGTACAATGGTAAAGACAACCCATACAAGACTCTTGACTATGAGTCTTTAAAACTGCTCCAAGTACGATGAGATCCTACGTGGAGTGTGGCCCATAGACTGGAGGCCCCAACATCACCTACGAGTTTGTGGGGAAGGCAGAATCTTGAACCTCGTGCCAAATTGACGGAGTCAGAATTCTCATTTTCAACACATGCCCCTGCAGGTTCTGCATGTAGGTTATAGTTTGAAAAGCCATGGTGTGCAATGTAGGAACTGAAAGGGGATTATGATCTCAGTTGGGCATTCTGGGAAGCGTGAGGAGAAGCGTCAGTCAGGATGTGGAAGAGTGTCCAGACATGGGATACAGATCATTTCTATTTGATTTTTAGTATGTGTGCAGATAGCGTTTTCTCCAAAATCTAATCTAATGCATTCTCTTATTTTCTATCCCTCCCTTGTCTCCATCTCTCTCCTCATCCTCTCAGGAACAGTATAAATTTGTATATGAGGTGGCACTGGAATATTTAAGCTCCTTTTAGCCCAATTGGATGGGGGACCTGCCAGAGTCCTGAAGCTGTCGTAGCTGACCTCTTTTTCTGTGACTGACAAAGACTGGTCTCAGGAGCTCGGAGGTGGCACACCTGCCCAACTCCAAGAAGAAGGCTGGTGGCCTCAATCTCTGCAGTAGGCTCTGCAGCTTCTGGAGGGTCTTCTGTAGCTATGGGATGGAGATGCTGTTCTGATGGGGCCCAAGCTTCCCCTCTACACCTGACAACATCTGGCCCACAGAAGTTTACCCCCAAGCAAGGCCCTAGACTTCCAATCCCCAGACCTCTTGCTTTTGTTCTTTCTAAGTTTGTTAACCTCATGGCAAGCTGACTGTGCAGGTGCTGGGGTGTGGGGAGCTAGCCAGACTTTCTCTTGCTGTCCTTATCAGTACTTAGGGTAGAAGTTCTTCTCCATGATTTCTTGCAAAAGATTGTAGTTTGGGGGAATCACTGGGTTATTGGTTTCTACAATCTCCTATAGAGGCCTCTGGCATGAGACACCTGCCAGTCTGGATCAGTGTGACTTCTGGATAGCCTCCTAGACCACAGCAGGAGTCTCTTCATCTCACACCTAACCTGTACTGGGCTCAACTCATGATGACCATCTCCAGCCAGGACTTGACCCTCTTTATTCTCCTGGCCAACCAGCTTTCTCCACATCACACTTTGGCAAAGGTTTCCTTTGCTTTTCCATAGTCTGTATGGGAGGAGGAGTCATAGGAAATGTTGAGGTACCTTTTTTCTTTGTAGAAAGGGCCACTGTCCTGGGCAAGACTCTGGCTAGCTTGTATAGTATAACCCTGTGCTTCCTAGGTGGCACTTTCTATAGGAAAGACAAACAAGAAAAGCTTTGATTGTCTCCCAAGTACCTATGAAAAGAAACTCTTATGAGAATATAAAATCCCATATTCTCTTATGTCAAAAAAGAAAAGGGTAGGTTGGCAGTTTGAATGTGTGGCTGTAAGATAAGTTTCTTGAGCTTATTTTATTTCCTGGCTATACCCTTGAAAAGTCCCATTGATGACAAAGCCATTGAACAAGTGAGGTGGTATCCTTGGGATTGGTCCCTGGTTGGGAGGAAAATACAGCAACTGCTTTATAATTTGTGTCTCCAAATCTGAACTCTTTCCTAAAGAAATCCAGCTGCCATTTTAAAAATGGCTACTGTGGCCCCAAGTTGGTTTATAATATATTAGTTTAGGCTCAGGGCTCTGAGTCTTGCCCAAGGTGTGAATAAATCAAGAAAAGGGAGACATTTGGGAAGCACTTCCTGCAAGCAAAGTGCCGTGCTTATCACCTCCCATATGACATCTCCTGTAGTCCACAGCACCCCTAGGAAGGGTTTGCATCATCTCCATTTTGTAATTGAAGAAATCTGAGCACCTTCTTCAGTGATGGAATTCTGGATTCAAAAAGGCAGGTAATGGCAATGAAACCTCCCTGTCATTTTCTTCATGCTTTCTCAGCCACGCAATTATTTTATGGAAGAAAAATAAGGCTAGAAACTTCTGAGCAGAGAGAGAACTCCATGGGTAGAAAATTTAATTCCTTCTTTCCGATACTAGTTCTCCTTGGTAGCCCAAACTTTCAGAAATATCTTATTAACTCATTCCCAGGTCCCCAGGAAATCTAGTCTTATCTAATTTCTTCATTGCTAAAAAACAATTCTCATGTTCCCTCGGGCTACAAGGGAGCGAGCCTGGGAATCTCTCTAGCCCAGACTGAGCCACAATATTTGACAGCCTTAATAGCCAGGGGTCTAGGAAGGTCTATCTTGCAGACTGATCTAGCCACAAAGTATGAGGGACACAGAATCCAATAAGGTACATGTCTCGCCCTTCAGGCCCACTGTATACTAGGGAAGCTGAGCCACGTTGTAATAGTGGGGCATACAAGCATTCAGTGAGCCTAGACATGAGAGTAACTCACTCTGCCTCCAGCTTCCTAGGCAACATCCATTCCAGCTGGGTCTCAGCAGATAGAAAAGAAAAAGGAAATTCGAGCCAAGGGGCTTAACGTGCACAATGGTAAAGAGAAGTAAGAAGGTATCAGGAGGGACAGATGGTGGAGGTCAGCCCAGCTAGAATGGAGCAGGACAGGGATAATAGCAGGAAGGTAGCCAGAGCCAGGAAGGAAATAGAAAGGGCATGGTCATTGCCCTGCAGGCAACAAGAAGCTGGCAAAGCTCAAAGTGGTGCACTCAGCTTAGTATTGGAGAAGGCTCCTTCTGGACCAGTAGTAAGCCTCTTTTCCTTTCATCAGACACTGTGAAAACATCTCCCTCAGTGTGTGCTTTTAATACGTTACGTGTGTGTGTGTGTGTGTGTGTGTGTGTGTGTGTGTGTGTGTGTGTGCGTGTGCGCGCGTGCGCGCATGTTCATTATTTTGTTGCTGAAACAAATATGGAGTGGATCATCAGCTCTTGTGTAAAACCCTGGGTCTCCACTCTACTGTGGAGCAGGGTCAACAACCCTGGCCTCTAAGCCTATGAGGACAGGACATGAAAGGAAAGCAGGAAGCCAGCTTCCATTGGCATGAGCCCAGGAGCTGTCTAGAAGTCCAAGAACACCAGACTTGATCAAGGAAGGCTGTCACTTTGGAGGTTCAAAAGAAAACATCTCAAAGCAAAAGCAAGCAAAGGAATCCCATGATTTATTCTTCTCCTTTGATGGGCCTCTTACCAGGTAGATTGGAGTATATCCCCAGGCCCCAGGCCCCAGCCCCAACTGGTCCTTGTGGCTTCCTATGGCTCTTGTCTCCTATCCCAAATGGACTTCCCTACAAACTACATGAGTCTGTAGCATAGCCAATCAGCATGTTGCATGCTATGTCCTCAGGTCTTGGCCAGTTCCTACAGGGAGAGGATGGGAAAGGGACTATTTAGTAGAAATCCTAGGATTCATTCTGCTGAGGAAGGGGTGAAAGAAATGACAGGTAAAGATGACAGTAGTCTCTATCATTTCAAAGGATGGGGATTTGAAAAGTAACTTCAGGGCAAAGAAATGTGAGAAAATTCAAGACCTGCTGAGGGAACTCACCAAGGGTTGACCCATCCCTTATTTTCTCACAATCCAACCACCCTCAAAAAAGTGGTCTTAGGGCAGTGCACACAAAAAGAAACTGAGGCACATGGATAGAAATGGCATTCTTCAGATCCATGTAGAAGACATGCAGAAGGGCTTAGATGAAATGGAAAATGGTACTAAGGAATTGGTAAGGTGTTTTCCCCAGCAAATCTCCCAAGAAAATCCAACTTTCCAGAGTCTCCTCACCCAACTCTATTTATAGGATGGGCTCATCTTTACCTGAGCAAAAAGAAAAAAAAAAAAAAAGGTGCCCAATTCTCACTTAGCTAAGATCTTCCTAATGTTCTCTATTGGAATCTAAATGGAGAAGGTGTGAAGTATAAATGAGATACTGTGAGCTGTCCCCATTTGGGTGTGTTTATGACCTGCATGGATTCAGGTTGGATCACAGCTGCATCTCAACGTTATGTTCTTTTACCCCTACTGATATGATTAACGTGGATGAGGTAGGAGCCTGTCAACCTCTAGACAGCCACAGCAGACCCCCTTTCATAGGAATGGAAGAGGCCACTTGCATCAGGTGTTGACCCTTACTGAGGCCTGAACAATCAATGACCAGCCAGATGGCACCTATTCTATGGCACATGGATAGACTCTACCTTGGACTCTAAAACATGAGCGCACACTTCAAACATTCCTGAAGTGTCTGTAACTATGGTCATCACCACTGTACTGGTGAGGAAACAAATCTAGAGGGAGAACTCACCTGCCCATATAAGCAAACTCGATGTGGTTTTCTGAACACAGAGACAATATTCTTCCACCATGGTATCTTAGATTTTCCCACATGATTACTCTTATCAGCAGAGATAATAGTGAAACTAATGACTTAGTAGATATTGGTAAAGCCCAGTGTATACAATGGTCAGCTTCAAATTCCTTTAGAGCCTCATGTTTTACATTCATGATACATTTGAATTCCATTTCCTAATTTATTTTTAGTAGTTTAAATCTGACTACATAAATATTTTTTAACTCTGTCTCATGTATCTCTCTAATGAACCATAGGGAATGATATCTCTGTCCAAGACGTAGTACCTGGCCACGCTCCTTCCTCCCAGGGTCAATTCTAAATTCGAATTCACACCAATTTTTACTCCCCTGGGCACATTCGTTGCTGTGTAGGTGTACTGACTGCACTGCTCCTGAGATTCAGCTAAGGTCTCTTCTTACAGAGGGTTCTGAAAGGTACCCCCTGACAGACTAGAATAATGAGGACTCATCTGCGTGGCATGGTGACAGTTGAGCCCACAAAACCCTAAAGACAAAAGAAAAGCCAGATTCAGCCTTACTCAGAACATCCTTGAATGCTGAGCAGTGCCTATTATCTTAGTAGATTCCTATGGCTTCTGATTTTGGCAAATCTTAGGACACATATCATATGAACATATGGAATCTTAAACACACTTTACTTAGCTCTGTGTAATCCTTGGGTCCCTGTAGCATTCAACACTCCAGACAGGTACCACTAGGAAGTACAGATCACTATTAATGGTAAGTAGGATAGGAGCTTGCTATTTGGTTTGAACTCCAACTTTACCATTTTGGGACCATAAAAATCAGGCTTAACAATACATGGAAAAAGGAATGCATGCAAAAGTCCTTGGCCAGGTTAAAAGGGGTTAATCTCGAAAGCTAGGACAGGAAATCAGGAAGGCAAATTGAAACTCAATGTCTACTCAGAAGAAGGATGCTTATGAGATGTTGAGCTGAGTGATAACTTAAATGACATGGGCATAGATAAAGAAAGCTACCCTCCATTAGTCTGTAGAGGGCCATACCTGCTAACCAAACAGGGCATCCGCACCAAGCTAAAACAAGTTCCATACTGCAGAAGATACGGCTAGATACCAGGCTAAACATGAACAGAAGGCTGATCCTAAGATATAAGGTCAACAGATTATACAGAGCCAAGATCCCCTAAGAATGAGTCACCAACACAAACTAATAGACAAGCCAAAAGATAAAACAGAGATAGCAATGTCATCTCAAAGCCCCGACTTGCCTTTCCAATTGACCAGTCAATGTGAGGCCCTCCTTAGCCTCTAACCAGCTCCAACTCATAGCCAAATATAGGAGAAAAATGGGGACAGTAAATTCAAACATAAACCAACTGAAATTTGACCTTGTTTGTATGGGTTCCCTGTGTGAGGTTGTCCCTAGATACATATCAAAATATCAAAAATTATAAAATTCAGAGCCTTCCCGCTACCTAACATGGGGTCACCTTTGAAATCTTATCCTTTCTGAATGAGAGAGAGAGAAAGAGATAGAGTGTGTGTGTGTGTTGGTGGACAGTAGGGAAGAGAGAGAATAGTTGTAACACTTGAGTTTTCTCTGACACTTATTTCTGGGTCATGGAGCTGATCCTCAGAAAACAGCACAAATATTTCTGTCATATCTGTGTATGAGAATAGGCTCTTTCAGTTTGTTGGAGCCATGGTTAAGAAAGATAGACCCTGTGTGACAGTGGCTATATAACTATATGGTGGAGACCAAGACCATCCTTTGCATATCTCCTGTCAGCTTCCACAAGGGGTGGAAAGGCTATCAAAGGGTCACATTCACCCCTAAAATCCATCCATGAATATTAGATGTCCAACAGGTGGAGTCAGTATCCACATTGATAGCCCCCCCAACCTGGCACCACTTTACCTATTGTGGATCCACCTAAGAGCCTAATGATGGTCCACTGCAGGTGCTAGAGAGGATAGGCGAGGATTGTGGTGGAAGACAGTCTACTAGAAAGGACTTTGGAAGGCTTCCTTCTGGACCTGAGAGCCTCTCTAGGTGGTAAAATGCAGACTCTGGTTCTGTTGGAACGTTCAGAGAACGGAGCCTAGGGGCCTTGGAATATTAGTCAGCAAAGTAATTGTATGAGATCAGGGCATTCAGGGTACCTAATGTAGGTCATGGTGCTTCAGTCAGAATGATTTCTAGGCACTTTGTGAGCAAATTCGTGTTAGTCTAGAAAAATGTCAGTCTCCTGAAAGGACAGACAGGATACCAGTGTCCATAATCTTCGTAAGACTGCAGATGCTTGGAGTGGATGGAGTCAAGCAGGGTTTGCTACCCCGGTTACTCTATGAGGGGTACAAAGATGAGTGAGGAAACAGTACCTGTAAGAAAGAATTTGATGGCTGCCAGAGAGGACAGCCACCCATTTCAAGTTTCCCAGCAGAAGCCAGATTTCTCAATCTACTAGCTTGAAGTGAAGAAGCAGCAATGCTGTGGCAGACTTCAGGTCGCTTTCACCTTCTGTGGGTGAACCCTTGCAGAGAGTTGTGTTTGACATGGTCCCTACAAACTGCAAGCTAAGCATGTCATGCTTGGTTTGTGAGGAGCAAGCTCCCTTCTTTGCCAACCAAGTCTTCTCCTAATACCAATTAAAAGGCAGGTGGAGCTGCATATCTTAGCCTCATCCAGGATGGTTATTGCCAGTCACAGGGAGCAACTCCTTGGCCATATATACACTTGATGCTTACTGTCATCTCTGACAAGGACAGCCATCACACAGACTCACTGGCCATCAAGGCTCTCAGTGACAGCCAGAACCAAAAAAGATCCAGGCAGGAGTCATAGCAAGATTTCACTTCATGCACACTAACTCCAAAAGTTCATTCAGCCCTCACTCCCTATTCAAGGCCTGTGGGAAAGCTTTCAAAAGCACAGTAATTCTGTTGACACTCTACCATAATCATTCCAAGTGCATATATTTTATCGCTAACCAGATCTTGGGATAGCACAGGTTAACTCATATTTAAAATCAGGCTCAAAATCACTTTTTTCCTTCTCTTTTCACTCTGTATCCTATTAGCCAACCAAAGGCACGCTCATGGCTTCTATGGTTGCCTTGGCTACTGGATACCAGTACAGCTCACAAGGGGTGATTATGAAGTCCCCAGTCTACACTAGGGAGGCTGACATTTTCATAGCCATGTGGCATATGATATCACATGAGACCAAAGTCTCCACACTATTTGAAGCCTCCACAAATCCCAATGGCCTGCACTTGTATAGTTTGGGTGTTTGATAGATAAAGCACGTATGAGAAGAAAAAACAAAATAAATCAACTTCAAAAAAATTAAAGCCAGCACTGTGCTGTCAATGTTTTTCTTGTTTTTTTTTCTTTTTCTTTCCAGTTCTAGCTTCAAAAAACAGAAGGTAAATAATGTCAGGTCAATGAATATCAGATATATTTTTTGACTGTACATTAAAGTGACGTGTAATCTTTTTACACCTGCAAGTCCATCTTATTTATTCTTGTAAATGTTCCTTGACAATGTTTGTAATATGGCTGTGTTAAAAAAATCTATACAATA